GTAATAATATTGTTCACATAATATCAACAATTGAGTAATCAATGATAATCTATTATAGTAGTAGCACGCAGCAAAGTTGAATTCACTGTTAATATGTAAGTTCGCAGTATACGTATCACGTATATAATATTATACCCTCATTGCATGCATGTAGGGTGGAGGAAGTGTGGAGAGACTGCAAACTACAGCAGATAACTAAAATGTAAGACAAACGCCTTCCCAAATGAGGTTAATTAATTATTAATTATAGCCCCTCCCCTATCAAGCGTTTATATCATAAATTTATATAAACATAAAATATAGTTAGTATACAGATATCATACTGACCTCCACGTGATCTTGTATGAAACCCATCGTTGTCTGTACTCGTTCATCTGAATCACTTAAGAAACTTTGAAACGTACATGGACTGGTTTCTGTCATCCCGAACAAACTCTGAAACGAACAAATTATATTATTAATATTAATTAAACCGTTTCAATTGTCGAGACTAAATTTCCACAACAAACTGAAAAAAAAGAAGTTATTTATAATCATTTTAAAATTAAGTACCAATATTTTAGCACGTGGAAACATTTTATTAAACTTAGTCATCAAGATCGGAGAACACGTGGCACCACCAGTTATTCCGTACTTTAAATTGTTGTCTTGTAATTTCGGCGAAAGTTTTTCGAAAACGGACATAATGTCAACGTATACAGTCGGCGTACCAAATAAAATTGTGCATCTAAAATAACAAAGTGGTAATATTCGTGTTAATAGTTAGGTTGGATATTATTATATAATTAAGAATATACCGTTTTATATTATATCCAAATCATGAATAATACTAACTAGAATAATTACAATTAGAAAAATAAAATTTTAAATTAACTAGTATTTTTTAAAACTAAAATAAAATAGCATTTTCTAACTTTTCTTCGGTAAGAACATCGACCGTGGCTTTTGGGTCAAAGTGGGCTGACGGTAAAACAATAGTTGATTTGGTAATCATAGGTCCAAGAGCACCGATTGATAAACCCGAAGCGTGAAATAAAGGCATTGGATTGCAGAATTTATTTATTTTTCCCTATATACGCATATAATATTCACAGTATTAGATGGGTTGGTTGTAATATAATATAATAATCATAATCAGACAAATTTTAAAAATATTTCTCATAATTATATACTTTACTGTTGTCATCGTTGATCCCTAAGCGCTTCATTATAGAGTAGGCGTTGTTCATTAGACCAAAGTGATTTAATAATGCTGCTTTTGGTTTACCAGTGGTACCCTAAAAATAATTTCAATTAATAAATTGAAAAATGCTGTTTTTTTTAGGTTTTAAAACGCTTAAACTATATGTGCAATGTGCACTGTTCCAGTCATGAGAATCATATTTAAGATCTATACTGTGCAACAAAATCACTTAGAATGTTTATCTTTTCAATACGTCCCTATAATAAATTTACATTTAAATTAAACACTTTCACAATTGAATTTAATATTAATTTATAATATAATATTATAAATTTTACAAATTATCTACTCAATCTTACTCATTTTTATGATAAGTCTCTTATTTTGGTATGTATTTGTGACGACGATAGATAAAATAACACTGATCGCGCGGGTAAAACTTTATTAATCGATTATTTGTACAAAAAATACCGATGTATCACACAATCATAATAATATCATAGAGTAATAGAATATAGTTTAATATAAACATAAACGGTTAACTGTTTTACTTACTGAAGTAAACTGAATAATACATCCTTCGTCTGGTTGAACATTAGGAATGCTATAATTTGAATTGAAGCCCAAGTCAAAAAATGTTTGTAAATTATAGGCACCGCTATAACAAATTCCATTATATACAATATTAAACATTTTATTGTATATTAMGATACTAATTGCTATCATAATTTGACGCTAACTTTATATGGTTTTCTGAATCAAAAATAACTGATTTAAGCGTGGGCAACACTTTCGACTTGATCGGTGTATTAGATGGTCGCTTCCAAATATCCGGATCGACCTTCTCTAATATTTGAGGATAATTTTGGGTCTTGAATTTCTCTAAGACCAATAGACACTTTACGTCAGCCAGTGTTAAAGTATGTTTCACTTCGTCACTCTGATATGCAGGGTTTATGTTTACCTGCAATCATAATAATATAAAATATATATGTATAGACGTTGATCATAAGCAACACAATACCACATTACACCTCTACCAACTATAATTTATTTATTATACTGTTACCTATCAATCAGTGCCGTATCCAGGGGGTGTCTCAGGTGAGATATTTTCATATCATAGTAATAAATAATAGTATGTGTAATGTGTATATATATGTTAATAATTAT